ACATCCCCACACTGCGCCTGCGTCCCTTTCTCACGGCCGTTAACTTCTCCAACTACACACAGATCCTGTCCAGTTCAACTACCATGCACTGCAACTATACACTGTGCTTCCGCTGTCCATTTCAACTATTAAAATAAATACACAAATACATAAATAAATAGATTTTGTGTGGGAATGTAAGGATTGGTGAGTGGCAACGCATGCGCGGAAGGTCCTGACCTACTGGCAGTACCTGGATGCGACGTCAGAGGTGCGCGCCGTCGATGAGTTCTCAGTGTCGACAGAACAGGACCCCACTGGACCTGCGCCGACTCGCCGTTGCTCTCCGAGTAAAAAAAAAATCATAACGCAAGCTTCGGCGCTATGATCGGGGCATTTTTACAAGTACAAGTACTTGTCAAAATGCCCTGTATCGGGCCCGATTCCGATGCTAGCATCGGTATCGGGACATCCCTACTAATAACCAAATATGCAAACATTCCTTTTCTCTATTGTCCATTGAGGGACACAGCTATGAAGAATTCTGAGACGTAGGGTTATGTTGCTGCCTCTAGGAGAAATGGACACTAAGCAAACAAATTAAAAGCCTGTCACTTTAAGGATAACACCTCACACCTGCCAATTTCGCTTAGTATCCTTGGGGGAATAGATGTGTCCTTCTCTTCATTATTTTAGTTAATTTTGTTTCTTCATTGAAGATTCTACTGCCAAGAGCTACTAGTTGATTCATACCAGATATGATTAAATCCTGGGAGTCTCTTTAGCTAGCTGACAAAACTGAGAGATTCATGGCAGATATGTTAAATCTTGGAAGTTTCTCTAGTTGTCATTAAGCAGGTTGTTTCTAGTCTCAGTACTTCGGCTTTGTCTTGCGGAGGTCCTGTCATCAAAAGTCAGGCTAGTATTAAGCTTGGGGATTTCTGTTGTTTTACATCAGGAACAGGACCGTGGAGTCGTGAGTAAAAAATGTATTTACCTCATGTTTATAAGGTTGGGTGTTTTCCCTCCCTCGTATTTTACTTTGGCTGTGTGCTTTTAGACTCCTATTTGTATAAATGCTTTTATGTGGAGTTTGACTGATTTTATTTAACTTTCCCTCCGACTCTTTAAGAGTCAGGGACTTTGATTTGATGACACAGTTGTTTTTATCTACTGTGCATGTGCAGTCTGTTTTTCTGGTTTCCTCAGAGCAGTAGTGTATTTCTATCATCTGCTTCCTTTGTTTCTTATTTATCCTCAATTTCATGTCGCTTATTGGGGAGAACAGAGATATGCTGTTTTTTTATTATTACATAGCCATTTGCCAGATATTCTGTGGTCTGCAGCAGGTGGTTGCAGTACTTTTTTTGCCTCACACCGGTCCAGGCCATAAGTATTATTTTAGTCTGAAGCAGAATTGTCAGAACAGACTGTCATTAGTCATTAGCGGGCTGTGTGAAAGTGAACTTTTTTTCTTTCCTACTCTGTGTCTTACTACTGGTTTTATTCAGAAACATGTGACATTTGTGTGTTACGTTGGTGTCACTGATGTTTCTGGAGTATATCCATATATCTTGCAGCACTCCTTACCAGATATCCCAAAAGGTAACAGGTGCTCGTAGTGACTGCGGATGGCACTGCTCACATCAAAACTCAAACTCAAAACTCAAATACAAAGTTCGGCAAAGATGTCACCAGCACGAAAATTCCATATCAGTGCAAATACATTTTATTGATAGATGTCACTTCAAACGACAAGTGCTTACGGTGCTGTGCAGGGTCCCCTTCATGAGGCTCAGAGATGATGTTTCTGGTTCTTCCAGTTACAAATGGCCTGTATTTCTCGAGGTGTTGCTATGGTGACATAGCTCTCCTTTTTATTTCTGCTTAGGCTTGCTGGAAAAAAAAAACCCTAACTTTTCATTTCTCTGGATACTGATGGCATGGTCATCCCATTCAGGATAGAAAACACTCAATAAGGGGAATTTATAAAAACTGGAGCAGACAAAATGTGGAACAGTTGCCCACCGCAACCAATCAGTCTCTCTCTCAGTTTGTTCAGTTAAGATATGAAAATGAAAGAGAGAAGCTGATTGGTTACTGTGCACACCTGCTCCTGATTTATTCTGCTCCAGTTTAAATTTCCCTCAATGTGTTTGTACATATTCACGGATTCCGGGTGGAATCCATCCGGTCGATTGTCACCTCTCTTAAGCAGCCCATACACCTTACAACCATCGCACGACTTTCGTTGTGCGATGGTTGTAAGGTAATTAAAATCTCATACGATCTGCCCACCTTGGACAGGCAGATCGTACTTGCGATCATCGCAAGCCCTCCCCGCTGAAAGGAGGACTTCCGATGATTCCAATGCTGAGCGGGCAGTGCGGCATTTTTCTTACGAGCATGCCACTAACCCGCCGAAAATCTTATGATTTTCGTCAGGTTTTCAAGCGTGCTCGGAAGACAAAAGATGTGTGACTGTACAGTAGAAACGGTTGCACGCCTTCCAAACACCTGACGATTATCGTACGATCGCGGGATCACCCGCGATTATCGTACGATAATCGGCGATTATCGTACGATAATCGGCGATTATCGTACGATAATCGGCAGGTGTATGGGCACCACACGACAAGGAGATTTTTTTTATCTACACATTTCTGTATTTCCAGCTCATCAGCGTTTCCTTCATTTTGCGACAGGTGACCTTCATTATTAAATTTGAGAATCTTTCCTTCAGGGAAATTCAGGGAAATTAAAAAATGTCAGGCCGAAACCGAAAATGTTTTTTATTTTACCTTTTTTATTTTTATTTCTTTTTTATAAAGTTTTGAATTTTTTTATTTTTATTTAGTTCTACATCCGGGTGAATGGTCTCTCCATCCAAAGGCATTTCAACAACTTTGTAAAATGTGGATCTTCTGGCTTTTTCTCACAACTAGAAGGTGGACAGATTTGTGTACAGAGCAAGGGATCCAACAGCGGATGCGGGGAATGCCTTAGTAGCTCCGTGGGATCAGTACACACTAATGTACGTTTTTTCTCCACTAACACTGTTACCTTGACTGCTTCGCAGGATAGTACACAAAGCAATTCCAGTCATTCTCTTTGATCCAGATTGGCCTTGCAGGGTGTGGTATCCGATTTGGTTCATTTGTTAGCAGACAGTCCCTGGTTTCTCAGAGCCTAATCTTCCACCCTGGTTCTCAGTCACTGGCTTTAATGGCCTGGGTGTGGAAATCCAAATGTTAAAAGACAAAGGAATATCAGATTCTGTTATTCCAACTATACATACTTTTGTTTCTAATTCCTTACTTTGTATTTTTATCAGGGAAGTTACTCATGTAACTCCCTGTAAGGTTTCCTTTTCCTCCATGGGCCCTGAACTTGGTTTTATCTGTGTTACAAATCCTGCTTTTGAAACTACACAAGACATTACTTTGTCTTTGTTATCCAGAAAGGTTGCTTTTCTTGTGGCCATTACCTAGGCTAGAAGGGTTTCCAAGTCTGTTCTGTCTTGTAGGGAACCCTGTTTGGTTTTTCAAAGGGACAAGGTTATTTTGAGACCAAAGGTTTCTATTTTGACCAAGGTAGTCTCAGCTTTTTTTTATTTACATGAAGACATTGCTTTACCTTTGCTTTGTCCTGCTCCCGTTCAACCTAAGGACATTTCGTCTTTATCATTTTGCATGTTATGGGGACTAGTAATGTTCATCTCGAAGCAAAAGCTTCCTTTGAATATTCAGACTCTTTATTTGTTATTCCAGAAAAGCCTAGAAAAGGTTGTTCAGCTTCTAGATCCACTATTTCTAAGTGGATTCATCAGCTTGTCATTTAAGATTATGAGTAGCGGGGCAAAGTACCACCCTTTCTTGTTTCTGCTCATTCTATTAGGGCAGTTAGTACTTCTTTGGCATTTCAAAATCAAGCTTCTGATACTCAAAATTGCAAGGTCGCAAGCTGGTCTTCTGTTCACACTTTTTTGCAAAGTTTTATAAAGTTGATGTTTCTGCCTCTTCAGATTTGATCAGAAAAGGTTTTTTTCAGTCAACTGTTTGAGTGTACTCTGTTCAGACTGCTTTTGAACGTCCCTACATCTCAGAATTCTTCAGAGCTGTGTCCTTAAATTTAGTTTTTTCTGTGAAATCCTTTTCTCAGAGACCATTGACAGACACCGCTCCCTCCCCTCAAGTTCCTTTGTACTGCTTGCTACAACTGTGAGGTGTGAGTGGTTATTGTAGTGTTTCCCCTCTTTTTAGTCCTTTTAATGAATCACTCCAGACAGAGTGGTAATGAGCAGAGTCCTATTTACTTAAAGGAGAACTATGGGGGTTAAGGCTTTTCCCCATAGTTCTCCTTAGGGTAACGGGAGGACACAAACTAGCGAGCTACAGCTCGCGGTATACTGAGACGCCACAGTATACCGCGAGCTACTGCTTGCGGTAGACAGACGCCGCAGCTGCTTGAGGTGAGTGAAAAGCACTCACCTCATAGTTCTCCTTTAAGCTTATGTGAGGAGCTCTTTACATGCAGGCAGGTAAACAGAGATTGCCAGTATGTTCATAAATGGCTAGATACATTAATTCCATATATATTGTATGCCAAATACCCAACAGGGACCTGCAGTGTTATTTCTTAGAGTAGTGTTCTTGCATTTAGTTTGGTAGCACCTCAGAGTTCACCCTCTGCTTCGAGTCACACAAACAACCTCTTCCAGGTCACAGTTTACATGCCAGCATGCTGTTTGCCACGCCCCCTTCCTGCTCTCTGTGGCAACATGCACAGTGCCCATAACCAAGGAAACCATACCTTCCCACAACCCATAAGACATCACAGTAAAACATTACAGTTATGTCCTTAAAATGACAGGCTTTTCATTTCTTTGCCTAGTGTCCATTACTTTAAGAAATCGCAGGATAATCCTACATCCTAGAATTCTTCAGAGCTGTGTCCCTCAATGAACTCTGAGAAGAGGATTTTACAGTAAAAACAAAATCCTATTTTTTTTGTCCCCACAGGGTTTGGAAGAAGAAACACAGAAAGAAGGTATTCTTCTTGGAAACTTCACCTACAGGCAAGATGGAAATCCTATTCAGACTTTTTCTATAAAGGTAACAGAAGAAGAAATATCCTCTCCGAATATTTCCTTCTTTAAGGTTTGCTTTGTACTCAGCCGTACAACATATCCAGGGGCAAATGTGGGTTTCCTAGTTGGGAAAATATTTATTTTACACCGAAATCATATATAATATATATATATATACATATATAATCATATTCTGTATATTTGCAATTTGCACAAATAATATATAAAGAATATACAGGAGGTATGCAAAATATGGTACATTTGTTTTAGTCAGTTTACCACACAAAAGTTTGGTGCAAAAGAATTTTGCCACCAAAAACAAATGTGATTTCTTTTCTCATCCTTTTAGGGACACAGGAAGTCTTTTTTACTTTTGAGCTATACTGCTGCTTACAAGAGAAGTGGACACTAGCAAATAAAAAAAGCTGTAGGCTAGCCCTGGATAACCCCTGTCACTACCAGCATGTTGTTGCTAGTGTTCTCAGGAGAATAGATATGTACCGTATTTTGCGGTCCATAAGACGCACCGGACCATAGGACGCCTTATGGAGCACTCGACAGACTGTAGCTTCTGACACAGCTTCTATGATAGAAGCTGTGACAGAAGCTGCAGTTAGTGACCGCTGAGACAGGTGGCGCTGTGATTACAGCGCCACGGTCTCAGTGATCACACAGAGCAGACGAAGAAAGTCCGTTCTTCGTCTGCTCTATGGTGATCTCGATCGTCGCCGCTGCTCGGTTTTAATACAAGTGATCTCATTAGATCACTCGTATTGAACGAGCAGTGGCTCCTACTGCTGAACGTGGTCGCAGCCGCCGCTGCTCGGCTTTAATACGAGTGATCTCATTAGATCACTTGTATTAAACGAGCAGTGGCTCCTACTACTCGCCCGGCGCCCGAAACTGCATGTCTCGGGCGTCGGGATTCGCTCCATAAGACGCAGGCACATTTTCCCCCTCCTTTTGGGGGGAAAAAAGTGCGTCTTATGGAGCGAAAAATACGGTATTCTTCAACTCTGATGTTTTTCTACCAAATACTTAAACAAACATTCCTCTGCATAAAGGTGCATCCCTACTTTCCAGAGTGGGGGATTGTTGTTAATCTTTGCAGACACTTGGACAGCTTGCATCTCAGATGCTTGGGTGCAGGGGGTGGTATCTCAGGGCTACAATCTGGAATTTGGCTCCCTGCCACCTTCTCAGTTTTTTAGCAGACTTCCATTGAGCCCTCTCGCGTCTTGACCAAGGTGTCATTGCCCTAGTTCCTGAGGCAGAACCTTTTCAAAGATTTTGCTGCAACCTGTTCACCATTTCCAAAAACAAGGGGGAATCCAGCTCAACTTTATCTCAAAACGCTGTCTTTATTTGAGCCCATAAATTCTGCTTTAAAGCCACAAGGTCTATCATCACCTATCTTCTCCAGGGAGACTAACTGGCATCTGTGGACAAGAAGGTCACATACCTACATATTCATTTCCCACTATTACCCCTGTTGTACTTTCATGGTATCCCCATTGTGGAATACTTATTTGTCCTCCTGTTGAGGGAATAGTTGGTGTGTGCTCTGTCTGACAATGTGGCTTGTCTGACTGTCCAGACATAATAGTGGTTCAGATAGATTCTGAACCTTCTGAAATCATTACTGGAAGTGACCCATCATGTTGAGTATCTGGCTCTAGTCCTAGACAAAGCTCAGGCCAGAGGTTTTTTTCCATAGGAAACTTTTTAGGCTCTCCAATCTCAGATTGGAACCCTCAGGTCCAGGGGATGTTTGGAAGTTCCTGATAATGGATGCCAGCATGTCGGGCACCCTGAAGGACTTGGTTATCCTAGGAGTTTCATCTACTGATCAACATCCTGCAATGTCATGTGATTTCACTGTCTCTGCAGCTTTGGACCATCCTGCTGGAAGGTCATCCGATGTGGCCTTAGCCTGAACATGCAGCGATGGTAGCATACATCAATCATCTGGGAGAAAATAGAAGTCTTGTTGTGGCAAGAAAGATAGATAGGTTCCTCTGCCTGCATTCCGGGTGCCGGCGATCGCACTACGGGCGGGGAACGTGGCTGCGGTGCCATTGCTCAGGCCAGAGGTGCCATGCACAGCCATGTCCCCTCCCGCCCCTGAACGCAAGGAGCCACCCCGGCTTGGGTTCCAGAGGCCGAACGCTCTGGAACGCAGATGTTTTTTCGCTGGTAGATCTCATTGAGCTAGTCATTTGAAAAGTAGATCTCCAGACAAAAACATTGTGGGCGCCCCTGTTCTACTAGATCTGTGAGTACCTCATTGGCTTTTCGGCACTAAGCATCTGTTTCCCATTTTTGCAACGCCGTCACCTTATCTTGTGTTCTATCGTTGTCCAAGTTCTACCAGAAGCGGTCCACAGTTGTCTGTTATTTCTTCTGGGTTTGTTAGCATTTGGTTGCTGTGTTGCTTACCCTTCAGTTGGACTGCTTTTGAACATTGCATTGGTGAAAGACTTCCTGTGTCCCTCAATGAACAAGAAAAAAACAAGATTTTTGTACTCACTGTAAATTCCTTTTCTTGGAGTCCTTTAAGGGACACACATTCAGTACTGCGTGCTAAAACTTAGGCATCATGATAGTGAGTGGGGTTATCCAGAGTTTGCCTACAGTTTTTTTTTGTTTGCCAGTATACAATTCTCCTGTAGGGAGCACAGACTTCCTGTGCTCCCCAAGGGACTCCAATTTAAGGATTTCACATTTCAAAATCCAATTTTTTTATTCTGATCAGCAATAACATCATGATCACCTACCTAATATTGAGTAGGTCCCCTTTTTGCTTCCAGAACAGCCCTGACCCATTAAGGCATGGACCCCACTAGACCTCTGAAGGTATGCTATATCTGGCATATCTGGCATCAAGCCATCAGTAGCAGATCCTTTAAGTCCTGTAGGTTACGAGGTGGAGACCTTCATGAATTGGACTTGTTTTTCCAGCACATCTCTTTATCTCTATAGGTTGAACTCAATTGACTTGTGTCTTTTTCAACCTCACATTTCTACTGCGCATGAACTAACTCATAATACTATGCGCAGGACTGGCTAATCAGCCAAGCATCTATTTAAGGTAAAGGTAAACTTCCACTAAGTTATTTTATTTTTATGTAAATATCACAACTAAACCATCGACTAGAAACTGAAATCAGCTTCAAGGAGATGCCATAAATATTTCTCCCAAGATTGCAACAAAGAAGATTCTTACTGCAGCTAGAATTATTCCAATCACCTTACTCCAAATCACCTGAAGAGGGCAATGTTGGACTAGGAATAATGTTGGATTTTTCCTTAAAATTCCAATATTATTCCATGAGATGACCTTTGACCTAAGTCTATAATTAAGAATTAATCGGATATCTTTGACAGCACATGTCAGACTTACTGTCTCTTTAAGAGATGTATAGTAGACATGTGCGATTCGTTCCGAATCGAAATTCGGACGAATTTTCGGACATTCGGATGTATCCGAATTCCGAATTACAGACATAACGAATGCAAACGAATCCGAATTTCCATTTCCGAAATTCGGTAGCGGTAGTTCGAACGTTCGTTTCGTTTTCTGTTCTTATTCGTTTCGTTCGTTGGAGCAAAGTGACATTAGAGAAGGAGAAAACGAATAAGAACAGAAAACAAAACGAACGTTCGAACTACCTCTACCGAATTTCGTCCGAATTCCGAATCCGAATTGACTTTCACACCCGAATCCCGAAAAACGAAATAACACAAATCCGAATTTAAAACGAAACTAAACGAATTTTTTGGCAGTGCACATGTCTAATGTGTAGCTTGAGAAAGTCTAAGCAAGAACAACAATTCATTTGTATATACATTGAGAATGAAGTCATCTACTAAGACAGTGGTTAAGTTAAATTCTTTCACTGATTACAACAATAACAATATACCTATTGTAATCACAGCGCCACCTGTCTCAGCGGTCACTAACTGCAGCTTCTGTCACAGCTTCTGTCATAGAAGCTGTCATAGAAGCTGTCACAGAAGCTACAGTCTCGAGTGCTCCATAAGGCGTGCCGGACCTCCCTGCGTCCTATGGTCCGGTGCGTCTTATGGACCGCAAAATACGGTATATGTCAGCAAGTACAACCAAATAATATATAAGGTATATAGGTTGAATATTGTAAAAAATATATATAAAATTACTCAATTAGGCAAATATTTAGATGCTTCATACAATACTAATAATACAATTGAAATTATTGCTAATACCATTCCTATAAAATAATAATATTGTATACAAGGTAACTTTTATGGTGAGTTCTTTTTCCGATGTGACGAGAAAGAGGGGGAAAAAATATCATGGTATTCTCTTTTGTTCTTTGTTAAGTTTGAGACATGGCAATTCCATAAATCTCATTCTAACACAGTCTGGTAGCATGGTTAGTCCTTATCTCGTTATTGTTGTTTGGTACCCCCACAATTTAAAACCTGGGAATGTATGTGGTAAGGTTCTGAGAATTGCTGATGTTAGAGTCTTTGTCCAGAAACCATGAACTTAAATTCATCTTATATACTGATAGAATAGACAGAACAACGATGGCTTCCAGGATGCCCATATTGCATTATGTAGAATAATATATATAGGTCTTATAATTTAATTCCTTTTAGCCCCAAATAGTTCTGACACATCCATGTCTTTATGGACCTTGCTTTGTGCACTGGTGCATCGTTATGTTGGAACAGGAAGGGGCCATCCCCAAACTGTTCCCACAAAGTTGGAAGCATGAAATTGTCCAAAATGTCTTGGTATGCTGATGCCTTAAGAGTTCCCTTCACTGGAACTAAGGGGCCAAGCCCAACCCCTGATAAACAACCCCCACACCATAATCCCCCCTCCACCAAACTTTACACTTGGCACAATGCAGTCAGGCAAGTACCGTTCTCCTGGCAACCGCCAAACCTAGACACGTCCATCGTATTGCCAGACAGAGAAGCATGATTCGTCACCATTGAACAGTATAATCTCCTAACCTCCAAAGAGAACATATT